CCGAAACTTCCATGTCCGGTGAGGACCTGCGTCAGGCGGTAGGTGAGGACGCCGTAGCGTCTCTCAAGCCACTCCTCAAAGAGGGGACTTACCGCTGCAATGGCAGCGAGCCCATCCCACAACGCCTACTTACCAGTTTGAGCTCTATCTCATCCATAGGATTTTTGTATTTTTTGTATCGGTTTCTAAGTTTATATTTTTCTTTCAGCATTCCTATTAGATTCCTATCTGTTTAAATTATCTGATGACACAATATTTCTTAGTAAATAATTTTATGACTAAAATTGTGGTTTTCTGGCTAATGATGCTACAGTACTACTTAACCCAGAAGGAAATGTAGGAAGAAACATAGGTACATGTCACCGTAATAATAATATGTAGTCAAGTTATTAACACTCTGAACACGGCAGTGCAGGCACCGGGCCTGGGTATGTTTGACTTGCACTCTAACTTTCACTGTTGAGAGCTAAAATTCTGAATGATTCCTGCACAGAGAAAATACGACGAGGGATTTAATAATATAATTTATTCAATATTCATGTGATTCGATTGAAAGTTAATCAGATTCATCTATAATACAATGTCAATGTCAACGTCAATATGAAAAGTGTAAAACTTTAATTTTATTTTTTTATTAATGTCAAATAATACTAGCAACAAAGTAATAAAATAAAAAAAATCATGTCAAGTTAAAGATAATTTATTTGAAATATCCACTGAACTTAAAAGAGCAAAATTCGGTAACAGTTGCTTGAGAGATGCCGTTCACTATTACGTTATCCATCATATTGATGGCACTTCAAATGATTATAGACATGTTGATGGTACATTCACCGCATTAAGATTATGATGAAAGGACGCACGTAATTATGATTGTGAAAATAAAACAAAAATAGGTTTTAAACTGATTTTATGAAACACGTAAAGTTAGCAGGTGTGCTATTTTTCGTAAGTTCAGAAACATTATCGTCCTTACCTATATTAGAAATAATCTGACGTGCTTTTTGTGTGAAAACATTCTAGAGAGACGCTGTTAAATCAAAAGAGTTCCATTTAAAACGTTCTTAGTAAGGAAAAGTTTAAAATAAATATTAATAATGTCATATGTGTGCGGACCGGAATCGAAAAGGAAAGAAAGTAGACTACGGTTTTTCTGACAGACAATCCGGTTTGCCATACACACACACTAATGACAGGTAAACTGCCATCGGAAGGTGCTTCCATAACTTTGTGGACGGGTGTCACGTAATTGCTTGTGATCCAGCATTTTTGCTCAACTGGTTTTCACGAAAGACAAAGCCGATGGCTGACCGGAGTTGCAGACAATCTTGCAGTTGGAGTAGGTACAGGATGGTTTTAAGTCAGTAATTAAGAGTCAATCTGACTTAGTCTTAGACTTAATCTCGTCCCGACCCAAGGCGGGAGGAGATGTCCTTTGACGATTTTCCCCTTTAAAAAACGAACAAAATATTAGTCACTCTCATAATAATTGCAGATGTATATATACGTACCATCTGCAAAACTGGCAACACTTACAGCAATATGTCAAGTTGTTTACCAGGATGTTAATGCAGATTACAAAATTGCTGATGTTTGCAGATTATAATGTAACAATTCTTCTCCTACGTAATTTAATTACGTCGTTTGAACCTGTTACTATTGAGTACATTACTTAACAGTTAACACCTAACATAATATCGCCTATTGGACAAAATTATTATTCGAGTTTATAAAAACACTTATGCCCGTGTTTAACATTAATAATCCATGTAAATATTACGTGAGACCTATATGATCGATTGTACTTAAGAAGAGGTTCAATGATTTATTGTATTTACTTAGTTTCGGGTTTATTCGTCTAGACTGTCCAGAGCACAGAAGAGTCAAAGTAGACTGTTTGAACTAATTAAGATATACATTTTAAACAGTGAATTACAACATAACATCACGCCTTTTTACGAAAAAAGGGCATTACAGCACTTAATGCCATTGCACAATGTGACACTCACATTTCACTACTTATGTTATTAGTGCCATGAGATAAGGGGTGAGCCTATTGCCATATACTGGGGTAATTTTAGACTCCGTGCTATTACTGAGATTTTTGTTAAAAAAGCCTAGTAATACATTGCCCGATCCGGGAATCGAACCCGGGGCCATGCCCGGCAGTTGCACTTGCGACGACTCGGCCAACGAGGCAGATTTTTAAATTACATACTCATATCGTACCTGGAAGGGAGCAACTTTGCTGTCTCCAAATTCATCGTATCGCATTTAGAAGAAAGATCAAAGATCAAACATTGGCATCACCACTTTCTAAAAAACCTTTACGACATTTGTTAACAACGAAAATGCGCAAACTGTGACCGCATTACTATTAGATATTAATTTTTTCTGAATCCCTGAAATTGTAAACGTTTTATGTAAGCGACGCCGTATTACGACATAATAATCATTCTTTGCCGCCCATTGTTTGAAATAAAAAATGTCTTAAAAGGAAATGGTGGATACCGATATGCTATTACACCGCTCCACTGCGCTCAAATTGGCGCATGTGACACTTTTATTGGCACTCTATCGCTTTGTAACCTGTCATTTAAGAGTTTCCTTTAAACTCGCTAATTCTTTAAGTACATGTAGATACCATGAATTGGTTTATTGGCCTAATTGGCACGGATCAATGCAAATCAAGGGTAATATAATTTTATTATGTTTCTACGAAAATTATGGATCTCGTTGGCCGAGTGGTCGCAAGTGCGACTTCTTCTTCTTCTCGAGGTCTCGGGTTCGATTCCAGGGTCGGGCAAAGTATTACTGGGATTTAAAAAAATCTCAGTAGTAGCACGGAGTCTGGAATTATGCCTATATTCGGTACCTATATTCTATTAAGTAATTACTTAATTTTATATGATTTGGTACCTGTTTGGCAAGATAAGGGTAATATGTTGATAATTATGAAGTACCTTCTAGTTCACTTGAAATGTAGTTTCTTCGTTATGGTCTAATGTAATGAGACCTACTTACTTACGAGGTAAGATTTCTCTAAATGTTCGCAACGAACAACAGGAAATTAAATGTTAGTTAATTATCACTGTTGTGGCGCACAGAGTGTCATATCTTTATGCGTAGATACACAATAAGTGTCTCTATTATTTGTATTAATTAGTGCATATACGATGTAACTGCACTTAATTCGCTGACTGACACAGTTAGAACTTCTAATAATATGGATATACTTACTCATTGCTAAACGAATGAGGGCCGATTATTCAATGCTCAGATAAATTATAACTGAGGAAAAACTTTGAATATTTGACAATTCTTCCGTAGGTACTAAAAACTGTCAATTGTCAATTTTATTCTACAGTTAAGTATCAACTGATGATTGAAAAGTCGGCCCTTAATTTGTTAAGTCTTTCGTTTTATAAATTCTTTTATTAAAGTCTAACAGCTGTAGCCAAATGCCATTTAGCGCTTGTCTATATGTAGAATAGAAACACTCTACAAGTAGACAAGCGCTAAATGGCATTTGGCTACAGCTGCTGAAAAGACGAATGTCGTTTTCATTCGTTACCTTTATATGGAATAATTAATATCTCATCTTTGATATGCATCCCTATGTATCATGTATACATCTAGCTTCTACGTGTGTACGTTTATTTACATAACTTACACCGTTTATTTGTTTTGGTTGGTGAAATGTCAATTTGAAACGTTGGTACCGAGATAACATAACATCTCGCCTTTTATCCCCGAAGTGGTAGGCAAAGGTGCACATTATCACGGCACTTAATGCCACTGTATCATGTAACACACACTTTTCACCGAGATAACTATATCAGAAAATAAATATTCTTTTTATTTGATTAAATGTTTGCATGTTAATAATTTTGCCTACCAAATTATTGGTGCATAGCAAAGTATTCAATTATATCTAAGGCGGTTACACTTTGAGATAAAATTGTCTCGTATATCATTGTTATCATAAATTGGTAATCGACTGGAAGACAATGCCCAAGGCATTAAATCCACCTGTACATATGTTTTTGTACTAAGTCTAAATAAATCATTAAAAAACTGTTAATAAAAGCTATTATTATAGTCAATTTTCTTAAATATATTTCCACAGTTCAATTTTAGCATTAGAAAGTTACTTAGCACACTTAAAGTTATTAAATTAACATTCGTAGAGCTTACACATCGACACAAAAATTTGAAGATTCATTCATTTTGTCAATAACCTGGAGGCAATGAAATCAGCGATATACACACTTGTATATTATGTAGATAAGTAAGATAAGATATTTTTAAAATAACTGTACTGTACTGTACTGAATTGAACACCTTCACTGGATGTAGAATTATGAAGTTATTGGAATTATTTTCATCTCTATTGGAGGATCTTAAAAAAGATCACCAGCTGATCGCTTCCGCCACAAACAACGTTGTAGCCCCACCAAGCGGAACCATGCGGGTTGACGTCACAGCGGCGCGCGCGCATAAAAAACTTTCACTTTTCTTTCACTGCCAAGGCTCGGCTCGCGGCCGCGCACTGTCGTCATAATCATATTATGTTTATAACAACATAGCTATTGTCTTATATCTATTACTTAAATTCTACGGGAAATGTTGAAACGATAACAAGTCGTATGAAGTAATGTAAAGTTACTATTTCCTACGCAATTTATTGTCAAGCTTTGTCATGACATAAAGAGTTGGTGTGATTAAATACATACGTTGCTGAGCACAATTATTTGAGGTAGCTTCACGTGTTGTTGACAATGGGTAAACTGTTCTTTCAACGAGTCATCTTCCTACTTTGTTACCGAATGTGACGTAACATTAAGACATACAAGCCTTTGTTAACTTGGGTGCAAAGTAACTTCAAATTGCTTATGTACAAATTCTCTAGATAACACTGACAATTCGTATGAACATAAAACTCTGATGAAACATTGAAAATCACTTTTTATTTATGACCTCTTTATTTCCTTCATCAGCTATGGCTGTGCGTGGCTTGTCTGGCGTCTTCCCTGGCAGCTCCAGCTCCGTCACAGGGCCCCCAACTATACTTGGATATTATCGACATGGCCGCCATCAGCAGGATGTCACCACAACAACTCGAAGCCCTGGCAGAGGGTCTAGCAGCTGAAGAAATTATGAGGTACTATTATAAGTTATGTTTAATTTAAATTATTGTTACATCTATCACAATTTCACAATACGAGGTTTTTGTGATCAAAGCTTTTCATAACTATAATCACTTATTTAAGTACTTACAAGAAATGCAGTATTATAAGGCAGGCAATATTAAAAAAATATGATTTTCTTAAACCTACAAATTGTTTTTATCACAACAGGACAAAACGGTCGTCAGCCCAAGCGCTAACGTCAGTGGTGTCCAAAGCATCATCAGGGCTTCAAAGCAAAGTGGGACTGCTGGGCCAAGCGTCTGCCTTCATCGCGTCAGCCTCCAGTAAGAGCGGAGGACACGGGGAGGAGAGCCATGGATACAATTACGAACCGGTAATATACCAGACAGACAAATTGTTAATAACACATATTTCGTCTGATTTCTAAAACACAATCAAAACGTACTAAACTTAATAGAGTTACTACTAGTAATAGAGGTGTTGCAGACAAAACATGTAACTCTTACAGTTTGTTACTATCTAATTATTCATAATAGTATAAAAACCCAATTTACCCAATCGTTCTTTCTAATCCTGAGGATGATTAATATTTTTAACCAGTGACTAACATTTGGTACCATTTTGATAATAAATTAATTCCAGCATCAAGAAGACGAGAAGTACGACTACTGGGGTCTGAAGAAATCTATCCTGTACACTCTGTTCCAAGCCGTGAAAGCCATAACTGGAGGAGTGACGATACTGAAGGGCCAGCTCATCAAGGGAGGCGGAGCGCTCGCTGCCACGCTGGGCAAGGTGATCTCAAGCAAGGGAGACGCCGTCAGCAATCTCGGCAAGAAGATCGTCAGTTCCGCTGCTCTTAGCCACAAGAAACCACATTGTGAGTAACTTATTTAATACTAGTCCACCCTGTGAACTTTGTTTAACCCTGAACGTTTTTCTGTGGACCTATGTAAATATTTTCGAACCTTCTCCTAACTTTAACAAATCCAACAAATAAAAGGAATAAGGAAATCGGTTCAGCAGTTCTTAAGATTTGCGGTTAACAACACATTAAGCGGTTTACTTTTATATTATAGAGATAATCTACTCTTGTACTACTAGAGGTGTTTATATCATCGGATAGCAAAGATCTACATCATAGCAATATCGTATACGAGTAGCAATTGAATTGAGGTTTCAATGTAATAATTTATTGGTCAATCAGCGAAGTTTAAAAAGGGTCAATTTATTACTCATAGCTTCTAGCTATAAATAATATTACATAGCAATCAAATGTTATGTCAGATTCTACATGTAATTAACCATAAAAAATGCGGTCACATATTTTTTGGAGCTACGAATTATGTAAATAAGAAAAAAATGTGATAAATCCATTTAGTTGCGACACATGTAATTAGTTTATGTAGTAAGTAATTAATCTACGAATCTTGCCATTTTGTTGTTTATTTGTACTTATGTAATTTATTTAGATGTGTATTAGGTAAGTAATGGTGTAATCCGAACTAGTAATCTAAGTCAATGTTCCTGAAATGAACTGCGTTTAGACGTAGATCTTAGATCTTAGGAAAGTTGCCATCCAGATTATGTAAATTATAGTTAAAATTAAGTAAACACTAAAGCATTGTAAATATGTCATAAAAGTATGTTGGATACTATTGAACAAATCTGTAAATGTTTAATAAACATTGTGTCTATAAACCTATCTGTCATTTGCAAAACGCTTCTTTTTATAGAGTTAAGATGAGACATGAGAGAGGTAAAGTATGTGTAGGCAGTAGATATTTAATTACGTCTAGTTACATTAACACTGGGGACAACTTAACGGATTGCCGGGGCTGCGACTCGAAGCAGGAGTAAGAACAGGATGGTTTTTAGTCAATAAAAGTCTGACATTCCTTTTCGCCTCGCCCAAGTCGGGAGAGGCCATTGAATGATTTTTCTCCCTCAAAAATATAAAATGATTAATTACTATAACTTTTGTTGACGTCAACATATCCCTGTCAGTATTTGGAGGATTGGGGTTTCCCCTTATTGTCTAGAATAAATGCAAAATATAAACTAGGTCAACCACAAACTCTACGTCACTAGGTTCATACCGTTCATGATGACCTGTAACATATGACAGTTACCTGCCTGTTACTAACGTAATTATATTACATTATTATATTACAGGTATATTTCTATAGGTACATATTACGTGGATTTGCATTAGTTGGAACTCATTGTGATGTCATAAATATTCATTTTATTTAGATTTGTTTTAAGGGCTTTTATCCTTAATTGACCACCCATGAGTTATAGAAGTTTCCTGTGGTACTAACTCATGCCTAATGACAGAAATTAGGATCTTATAGTATTTTAAAATTGTTCTATATGTACGGTCAGTATCGTTATCGTTAAAGTTTATGAACACATTTAGATTTTCACCGTACTACCGATGAACAGAATAAGCACCAGAAATAAATAATCATCTTGTGTTTCATTTAAGGTGCTAGTCATGTTCGCCGATTTAGGTGTACAGCTATTTTGAAAATCGAAAAATATGTTCATCAATTTTTGGTGTTAACCGTACTATACAAAGAAACATTTATGTAGCCTATAGACGTTAGTCTTGTACAACTATATGTTTTTATGACTTCCTCTTTGCTTTCTTCTGTAAAGAATGAAATCGCATATATACTTGGAACCACCAGTGTGATTACAACCCAGTTTGTTTTAAAAAAAAAGATTTGCCTCACACTAAATTTTTCTCCTGTGTCGTGGGTACGTTTACAAACATACAAGTTCACATACAAGTTCATATAAATTTGTGTTGGGTAAAAAGTTTTTATTAAATGAGTATAACGCTATTTAAAAATTAGGCGTAGTTCCCAATCAATGGCGTAAAAAAATATATTATATTAATTGTACCCTGCAAGAATCGAAATTGCTGTAACTTGTTGGCTGTTTGAATACAAGGGTTTCGTAGTTGCAGGGAAACCTCCGTGGCCAGAATAGCATGTACAGGGCGTCTATGAAGTCGACGATGAAATGGCTAGATGATCAGTACATTTTTTTTCAGTACGGTCTCTTAAAGTAAGATAAAAAATATTGAAAATAATTGATTCATCTAAAAATTATATTCTTTTCCAAACTACGGCAGTTCGCCCAGGATGTATGATTCCATAACACTGAAGACCTATTTCGAAACAACGTAAGCAAAAATATAGACGAAAAAATAAAGAATCGCAGTAACAACAGTCAAAAGACTGGCACAGGGTGTACTTTTTCGTGGATGACATATAAGTCTTTGTAATTTAAAAACTATATGACTTGGATTTTTTTCTATATTTTTCTGATGACTATTGGAACCTTACCGATCATCTGGTGCCATTTGATTATCGACTTCAGGGACACCCTATATATTTCATCAAAATAATTAATCATTTCATTGCAAATAATGATTACAAGGACATACATTTTAATAATGTGTCATACAAAATTACCTACCCGCTATACTATTTATTGTTATTAGAAAACCCAATGTGGTTATGAAATAAATATTATTTAATTCCGAACAAACAGCTTACGTAATATATTATGAACTCCATGGAAAATAAAAAATATTGCGGTCTCAGTTTGCGATTTGTTTATCATAGAACAAGGTAAATGAAATCAGTTTTGCGAAACCTTAATGTGAATAATATGTGAACTAGGTGTAACATTACCTACCTATTATCGTACTCATTATTTTTAATGAACAAAGTCCCAATTTCAAATATGTACTTAATAAAATACAATTAGTAGGTGAATTCACCAATTTAAATATTCCAGTCTTATTTATCTCGAGTCATACACTCGGGCGCACTGAAACGGAGTCACTGACTTTTTTCTATTTTAATTTTTTGATAAACATTTACTGATAGATATAAGTATGTATTTTATTTATTACTAGCCGTTGCTCTCGACTTCGTCCGCGTAGAATAGTGACCTCTGGCAGAATTTAGGCTTTTGTATTAGTTTTTATCAAGAGATATTCTACGGTAATGAATGTCTTCAGAATTGATTCAGTCCCGTAGATGATAGCGTGATAATATGTAAGTAGCCTATATGTTGACCCGACTTGTAAGTACCTAATACTGACGCAAAATTTAATATAAATCTATGCAGTATTGATTGTAGATCACGCTCCAATTATCCTTTAAAAAAAAATTTAATGTACAGTTTTGACTTTTCTACGAGTTTATTATATGTATAGACTAACGTATGAATTACTAACGTATGTCGTATAAAAGACAATTTAGTTACATTTAAAAATAAATACCTATTTAAGTTAAAGGAGGTTCGGTAAATAACATAAACAACGCTAATGGTTCCGTTTCTTTGCTCCCATGTTTAAATAATGGTGTTGTTAATGACTTTAAACATGATATGACAAAAAATATAATTAGATGTTGCCTAATTTTTAGTTCAGTGTCCATCTTAAATCAAATAGAATCCTGTTAAAATGTATAAGCTAAGAGATTTTGCGTTAATCTTTCAGCGACAGCAGTGTACGGGCCCCCGCCGACCGCTCATTTAGAGTACGGGCCCCCGACCGCGTATGGCACGCCCACTGCTCCGGCGCACTTCACAGCTCCTTCCGTGCCCACTGGATATGCAGCACACAAATATCCCTCGCAACTAGACGGTAAGATACCAACATAACACAAAAAATAGCGAAACACTCTCTACTCTACTCTCTCTTTCTTAAAACCGAATTATAAAAATTATTATTAATATGAAAATAGCGATGAATAAGGTATCATTCATTTTGTTCGCTGGTGGCTACTATTTATAGTTTTGACAAATAACTAGTAAATTCTGACTACACGTGAAATCCCAAATGAGCAAATAAAACTCGTTATGTTCATTATGAAAAACATAAACAAGAATGGCCAAACAAACAAGTTGTTTATACAAGTGCTCTGGATATTATGTAAAATCTCCAACCTACGGGCCTGTACGCGGTATAGTAAACATTGTTGCGCAAACAATCATTACATACTGATTGAAAAAAACACCGTCGACTATCGGGAAATGAATTATTTACACGTTGTCACAGAAGACTATTGTGTTTTTGTTACTATAGTTTCACTCTTATGAGGACTTAAAGGGTTGCCGGGGCTATGAAGGGAAGAGTAGGAACGGGATGGTTTTTAGCCAGTAAGAGTCTGACACTCCCTCTCACTTCACCCAGGCGGGAGCAGTCATTCGATGATTTTCCAATCAATTAAAAATATGAGGAATATTAATCGCGTAAAGATAACCGTGAAAGTAAGATTACTTAATTAAAGTAAAATAACTCCAACAAAATATTTCTGTGCATCAAGTTAAACTAGATGAAGCTTTAATAAAGTTGATTTCATCATTCAGAACGACCTAAAGAAAAGATATTGTCAAAATCATAATGACTCCGGAAACAAGGTTTCCGTGGCATCAACCAATTTGCAAATTGTTATTATTATCTAATATAACCAAAACCGTTACAAAATTGATAGCTCATGAATATACGCAAATACACAAAGTAGAACATATCTATTATCTGCAATCTATTGCGCAATGTGACCGGTCAGAGGTCTTGATTCAACGGAACTAAAAAGTTGCATAAGTTTCATATAAGACGCATGCTACTTACACAATCGTCGGTAGTAGTACTTAACGGATATCTTCGTGGGAGCATCATTGTGTAATTAAAATGTTTTATTCGCTCCGTGAGCCCAAACAAACAGTAAGAACAGTATGAGAAACATTATACAGATAAATAAAATTGGAGTGACTGTTTGTAATATTGAAATACCACTTTTTACTACATGCATATGAATATAACATTCGATACGTATACCCAAAATAACACTTTTTATAATTTTTGTCTGTCTGTCTGTCTGTTTGTACTGGCTACTCTCTGTAATGGCTGGACTGATTTTGACGGGACTTTTATTGATAGATAGCTGGTAAGGAGGAACATAATTATATTACTTTTATTTTACAAAAAACGCAAATGAAGTTTCGGGTTCAGCTAGTTTTAAGTACCTCTATGTAACTGTAGATAATTCTTTAACAGATGAAAATCAGTTAATGCTATTGTTAATCTTAAGTACGTGCCGACCAATAAATAACGTTTAAAATGAAACGTTACAATGCTATTAGTTATAAAGAAGTCATAAAAGTTAACAGATTTTATAGTTAATGTTGACTTTTGATGGCCAGTTGTAAAGTCAGCGACAATGAATGAGGTAGCTCTTGAACTCGATGACTTAATATTATATTGTCAAGCACGATCATAACATAATTCACGGTAAATATTTACTCGCAGAAAAGGACCAAAAGTTTATTAGAAGATAGAACAGCAGTTTTTACGTTTACGTTACGATACTCTGTATTGTATGGTTTAGTAGATATGTAAGTTAGAAAAAGTTTAGACTTTAGTAGAAAACTAGCTGTTGCCCGCGACTTCGCATAAAGTGGTTTTAATTTTCTAAAATAAAAGTAGCCTATTTTACTCCTTAGTACATCAGCTAACTGCCAATAAAAGTTTCGAAAACTCCAGGGATTAGCACTGGCTAACTGTCTGTTTGTACTGACAAACAGACAGACAGACAGGCAGATAAAAATGTTAGTTTGGAATGTGTATCATCAGTGTATTCACATGCATGTAGTAAAAAGCGCCTATTTCAAAATTACAAACAGACATTCCAATTTTGTTTATCTGTATAGGTAGTATAGATTTAATAAAGTTAAACTTGTACCTACCTAATGTTCCATTTACCCTACCCATGGTTAAAGTTTAACTCGATTGAACTTCAAGTCACGATCATTTACTTGAGAACTTTTACTACCTAGTTATTATCACCTATTATATCAGAAGTTAGTATTTCATCGAGGTCATTATTGCATAATATCCTCATTTCCTGGATTTGATTGCGTAAAATTTGCCATTTATCTTCTATTGGTCTAGATTACCATTTAAATTTTATTGCTTGTGTATTAATTTGTTTGATATCTAATCTAACTTTCCTTATATATAGTAAACCATTAATATTTAGTATGATAATTCAGCCTAGATTTTGTTGAATTAGTTATTTCTGTTCGATTATCTTCTTGTATACCAGAATGTTCTATAATATTTTTTTAACTTCAAATTACGCCTACATATTATAAAGAGGTATTTATTGCAACAAAAATTATATGAAGTTAGACCCAATAGTGGTTCCTTACATAACTGAACAAACGGTTATCATTGCAGGCAGTAACGCTGCCAATGAGGTCATATTCGTGTACCTATTGTTTATTGAGGATACTTTTACTTTCGACCACATTTTGTGGAGAGCATAATAACAGTACCTATTTTTTTTTAATGGGGTAATCTGGTAGACGAGCGTACGGATCACCTGATGGTAAGCAATCGGCGCTGTCCATGGACACCTGGAACACCAGAGGTGTTACGTTATCGGCCTTTTGGGAATTGGGAATTTGAGTATTGTAGGGGATTCGGGAATTGGGGAGACTGGGGAGAAGGGTAATTGGGCCTCCGGTAACCTCACTTACACAAGGAAATACAACGCAAGCGTTATTTCACGTACATTTTTCTGTGAGGCCGTGGTGTCACTCTAATCGAGCCGGCCCATTTGTGCCGAAGCATGGCTGTCCTACACTTAAAAGCTACTTGTGTTGTTTAAATGGGACTGTGATTTAAAATAACGAATTGTTTGTAGATTGTCGTTGACATTTAAATTTATTTTTTCAGAATTGATAGTGTCGTCAGTAGTAGATGCTGTTTCAGAGGAGCCGATGCCTTTACCCTCGGAAGAGCTATTGTATCGCTATTTTGACCTAGTCAGTGAACTGTGGTAAGAGTAATATGCTCCAGTCTTCCCGCCTGGTTGGCACACTGTGTGTTTCTTTTGGCTTCATTCTGCTTTTTCTTAGACATCCTTAAGCAATCGTTGGAGTACTGTCTTTTGTCCTGACCTGGGTTATATGGCCGTTTAGTCTTAAACGCAATCAATTTAAATCTTTGGAATTTTGTCTTTATTCAGTCAGTATTATTCCTAGAACAACCTGGATCTTTTTTGGCTGTATATTAAGCAACTCCTTTGTCGTTCTTCTACCAGCAAGTAGTAGTAACTGACGGCAGTTAGTTACTTCTTCATCTTCTTCTAGCAATCTCGCACACATCTCCTCTTTTAGCACTCTTAAGCAGAACAGATTTCAAGACGTTGTCTCAAAGTGTTCTGCGATTGTAATTACTTTATAGATCCTGAAGTACCCACCATCAGAGTGAGTGATGTCCATAACAAGATTTGGAGGTGTCTACGTCATCAGTTTTGGAAGTAAGCTATGTAAATTAATGTGTGTACGACGACACTTTATTGGGAATCTTCTTACAATTATAAATCTTTCTGCTTGTTAATCTCTTGAGATTCTTACAGTATTTTATGTGTAAATCCTTTAGGCATGATTAATAAACTGAAGGTATCTTGTTATAAAATGCCTGCCTTGCCTTATACCTTATTACCGTTGGCACTCACGGTTTTGTTTCGATGCCCAAAAACCGCAGCGAAGTCCTCACCTCATTTACATAAGACTTTCCCTTTCGAACGGAAATAGACGTTTAAAATTACGAAATAACTTCAAACACTGTGTCCAAATAACTGTGTGTGTCATTTTGTAATTCGACTAATAATGTTCAGTTTGATGTGTATTGCAGTGTAACTATGAACACAATGGAAATGTAAGAAAAATTGCATCCATTTCCAATTTATATTTTCCCATACTTACAGACAATCACATCTTTACATTGTTTAGCTGTCCGAACGTATTACGAAATTATTTCTAAATATTTTCTCAGATTTCATCTAGAATGTGTTTCTCAAGTTTTAACCGTTGAACTACTTTAACATTAGATAAACTAATAAGGAGGTACAAGTATTATACATTCCTACATAAATAGGCGAAAAAATCGGCTTTAATACTTGAAAGCACAGACTGCTTTTTGCTGCTCCTCAACCGTGACCACTTCTCACTAGTTATAAAACATTATTTGTTACTGTTATCTTCACATCTAACCTGAATAAACTAGTAAAAGTCAACGAACGACCTATTTTGAAACTCTATTTGTTAAGATCAGGGAAGTGCAAGATGCAATCGCGTGATATTCCGTAACATTTAAGGAAGGCACACGATTTAGTTAGGCGCGGCTTTGGGTGCCTTTCAGTGAAAGTGTACCTATTATGTCACGGATCCAGCCGAGCCGGTCGTAACTATAAGATCATATGACACATGAGCACTGCGTCAAGTCCCAGGGTATCGGATCCTTTGTTTTGCAACAAGTGTTGTAACTAGGAAATTATATTTTATACTTAGGAATACATCTAATGGTGCAACCACCACCTTTCAAAGTAGGTTCAGTTATTGCAATAATTAGTGTCGTGTAGCAAGTCGATACATTTTATAATAATCTAGAAATAGATAGGTAATATTTTGCAATGTTCCAGAATTTGAATTATCACAAAAGTTTAGTCAGTTACATTAGCAGTAAATATTAATATAATATGATGTTTATAACATGTACCTAACATGCCAAGAATTAGATTACGAATTAGAACACGCAATTGGAATTCCCATATCCGTTAATTTGTCATTGTTTTTCTAATAAACCAATGCTTATCAATAAATTGGACAAAACAAAGTGATGTCATATAATGTAACGAAACATGCAAAAATATTTTGTTTCCATCTTCCATATAAAACAATAAAGAGGATAATCATCCTTAATTTATGGCAACATTGTTTCTTACTCAATGATTATAAAATATTTCATTTGTCACTTTAGTGCGATATGGTGCTAATTACGACCTCCTTAATTACTGAATAGAATTGAATAATAAATCATCAACAGACAATTACGTAACACCTTTCAAAGAACATTAATGTAAAAACTTAAGCACTTTTCGCCTAACTGACCGTTTTGTGACTACACAGTTATGCAATGCCGGACAAAGAAAAAAACCCAAAACTAAAATTAAATGTCTGACGGACTATCTATCATTTTTGCGAAACATTTACAGTAACATCCTTTTCTAACTTAACTGACAAATTTAACAGAAGAATGAATACGAGTAAGGCCGGCTAATGTTTCGGTCGGTCTGTTGAAACACTTAACAAATAAATAAGTATCGGAATTACCAAAACAACATGCATGAGTAGATTAGTGGTACAACTCAGACATTTATATGCAAACCTTTACCTTATAGCACTTACAATGTGTACAATTTACGATAAAGTTGTATGCATGTTCTAAAGCATAATTTCTATCTACATAAATAATAAAGAATTTCCTTTCATTAGTCTCGTTTCGTTTCGTTTTCCTTTGAACCAAAGAAACAATATAATCAAAAATATTGTATTGTGAACCTGATTGAAAACGAGTAACCTCTGGAGTTTTTACTCGTTCTTCTACATAGGAATCTACACTTGGAACGAGGACTGACCAACAGATTGACATTTTTAAAAAAATAGTATTTCAATGTTTTGTCTTAACGTGGTCCTGGTCTAATTGAAATAAATGATTTTGACTTTTGTTTTTGCTTTTTTTGTTTAATTTCGAGAACGGATAAACCGATTTGGTTAATTTTGATCTTATAAAGTTTGTGGAAGTCCTGGAAAGAATTTAAGAAATGAGATAAAACATTTTAGGCGGTATAAAGTTTGCCGGGTCAGCTATGTAGTTTCTCAATCAAAATATTTTCTTATTCAGACAAGTGTAAGTTACTGATACTACTAGTAACTTTGCATCTACGTTTTACATACATATAACAATGTAACATAACATCACGCCTTTTATCCCCGAAGGTACACAAAAGTAACACCCACTTTTCACTATTTATGTTATGAGTTCGGATTGCTACTCATACTCATATGTAATAGGGGGTGAGCCTATTGCCATATACCGGGCACAATTCCAGATTCCGTGCTACTACTGAGAATTTTTTTTATACATTTTACATTTACATTTTTAGAAATAGAATCGCAGTTCTTTTTTTTGAATTCTATAGAGTAATTACACGTGTAGCTATAAATAGTCGAAGTCAGTGACCTTCCGTGGTCACGGGCGCGCAGGTACATGTATCGAGAACACAGAACTAGACTTGCCGCGGTTTATGCGACTTTCAACCCATCTAGGGCTTGACATTTTACTATAAATTGTCTGTTGACGCGAAGCACTCATCACTTTCACACGTCACAGAAAGTAGCTGATTGTTAGCGGCGAACATCACACCTTACCTATGAATAGAGCGCCGATCATATGCGATGGCTATTAAGAATAATTGCTTTGTTATTTGATTTTGAGGTTTATGCGGATGTTATTAGATACATTTTGACATAACATAACATCATGGCACTTAATGCCACTGTACAACCCACTTTTCACTATTTATGTTATGAGACCCATGTCCTTCTTCTTCTTCCTCCTTTTGCCATATACCAGGCACAATTCCAGACTCCGTGCTACTACTGAGATTTGTTTTAAAACCCAGTAATAATTACTTTACCCGACCCGGGAATCGAACTCGACATCGACAGGTACTGCAATATTGTTACAGTATTATATGATAAAGGTTTAACTATTTTACCAATGCCTATAAATATTCCTTTTCACGGAAGTTAACATGAATGGAAATTAAGGTACACAAAATATAGACATTACCTGGACCTATCTCATTTTTTCTATAATAATTTAGGAAGTAGCAGTTGTATATAATTACCCATTTAGAGAAAGTTAATCTACATTTTCATGAATATAATAAAATTAATAATAATATTAAATCACCGCGCTACATGACGTACGCATGCGTAAAACATAATAATATATTTATGATAACGTAATGGTGACGTAAGTTATTGTTACTTATAAAGCCAATCACTAGGAGGAAAAACGTAAAATATACATGGTGATTTTTTATTAGAACATAATCGCGTATGGGTTTGTAGAACAGATCAATTCCAACATTTTTGTCGAACAAAGGTATAGACGGAAATGAATGATTATTAAAATATTTCAATTTAAGTGTTAATTTCGAAATGATGCCCGCGGTAAATTTCTGAAAAAACAAAAAAGAAACGCACTTGACGTATTTTTTTAAATTATTGTGATCTATTGGTTTATTTACCAGTTCAAATCGTCAAATATCTACATATTAACAAAATTTAAATATTAATAATACCCGTTAATTTCCACCTAACCTTTTGTTGGACAAAAATGTTCGAAATGATCTGTTCTACAAACCCATACGAGATTGTGCTCTCATAACAAATCAACCTGTATAAAATACTTACGCACCTATGTTGCGAATTTATGGCGAATATTGTATAATATAATGTATTTTTCCGCCTAATTATAATAAAGCAGTTCTTGTGTTACTTGCGCTTTAATGATGTCATTAAAATTGTTGCTAATTGACCATCATTTGCACAACATGACGTAAAACATTACCTAAATTCCATAAGTACCCGGTAATGTTTCATCAAAGACATTTTTTGGAAAAGCTATTTTATTCTTGTGTTATTATGACATAACTTTTATAAATCCGAATGCAATTGCTGTTGCAGTGACAGAAAAATAAGGATATCGTTAATGTCATTAGGTGGTATTGTTATCGAAATCATCAGATGTACGTTACGTCATATAGGTGCAATATACTATAAACTTGAAATTGCAGAAAAGAAAAGAATTGGGCATCATTATTTGTGCAAGAAAATTAATGGAGCACGGCTTGTTATATTAGGTTCCTTAGTTTTATTGTGAAAAACATGTGAATCACATAAGTTATTATTATTTCTTCTTCATCTCTTATAGTTTCTTCCTATTTTACAACCAGCGATTACCAACATTTCTCTTAAGTTTCAACTTATGCCTATTTATGAAGTAACGTGTTTATGTTTGTGTTTATGTGAACATTAAACGTGAATTGCATACTAAACTATAAAACAAAATCATAAGAATATGTAGTAGTGAACAAGTAAAGTATGAAAAATATTAGAATATTGTACGGCTTGTGGGTATTGAATCCGCAATATGTAGAGCAGCTTTAGATAATTGGGTAGTTTCCAGGGTATCAAAATTAAAAATCTAATAAGTCCGTCAGTTAGATAATGAAAAAATGTTAGACACGTATTTTCTTTTCTCGTTTTTAGTTGCAATGCTTAGATAAAATGGCGCTAAGTTTAGGAGTGGGAGGTCGTTACGTCATATCGTGCTACAAAATGTGACACGCTGTGACGTCACACGATATTTCAAATTAATATATCGTCGAAAGTATTTAATTTTATGAGAAAAGAAAAAATACGTATCTAAAGTTTTAAATTAATCTACCACACGGACATTAAAATAAAATTTCGGGTTCGATTCCCGGGTCGGGCAAGGTATTACAAGGCTTAAAAAAAATGTTAGTACTAGGATGGAGTCTGGAATTGTGCTCGGTATATGGCAATAGGCTCACCTCCTTTCACATGGGATTCATAACATGAATAGTGAAAAGTGGGGGTTGCATAGTTGTGGCATTAAGTGCCGTAATGTGAACCTGCCTACCCCTTCGGAGATAAAAGGCGTGATGTTATGTTATATTAAATAATTTATCTGCACTTACTTTCACTTCACAATTCGCAGAAGAAAATACTTCATAATAAGGCCCTTTCACTGATGTACCTACCTGATTATTGGGAGGCAAACCTAATTAAATTGGCGGTAAATTTAGTTTATGCAATTCAATGGTTTAATATTTAATTAGAATGAGCAATATTGATATAGGTAATATTATTGTTTACTCGTTTTTTATGGGATAAGCCGGTAAACGAGCAGACGGATCATCTGATCATAAGCAATCGGCGTCGCCCTTGAATACCCGGAACACTTACAATTGCGTAAACATTTTTGGGATAAGGAATATTAGAATTGTTGGGGATTGATTGTGGACGGGGGACGGGACAATTGGGCCTCCGGTAAACTCACTCGTTGTTTCACGTCGTGTGAGTGACACAACGCAAGCGTTGTTTCACGTCGTTTTTCTGTGACGTCGTTGTTGTTGTTGCTATACTGTAATGGTCTACTGTAATAGCAAATGTATGTAATGTAATTACATTAAATCTGGTTAGTTTCAAGAATTCGGTTATCGACGTAGAAACGAAGAATTAAAAAAAATCGTTTGCTTAAACTTGAAAACACATGTTAACTTAATTAGAATAATATTATGCATGTTGTCCTCTTGATGTAACTTGATTAAAAAAATGAACCTGAAATACCTGAAAATAGTGCCACCGGCGAACAAAAGAAGAAAATATTTATTCGTAACTTAATTTCAATCCAGATATGTATGACAAATGGAAGTATTTCGCACATTCGGTATAGCAATTTAACTATAATGCATTCATTTTAGGGTACCACGATCCACCTCATCCTCATCGGGATGAACCACAGTTTTACAAGCGTTTAGGTACCACGTGACCTCAGTTCTGTATGTTTAGCATTACGAATCATCATAGTAGTTCGAAGTATACATAATTATGTAATGTTAAAAGTTAGATGACGTAGTTAGTAACTAGATGTAGATACAGTTTATTACTTTAGCATTTGAGGTTTGTAGTTGGAATTACCGTTGCGGTTTTGTACGCAGCTATATCATAACTAATAATTGTAAAATGTCCAAATAATTAGAAATGGTTAGTCATAAATAACTCATCAATATTTTTTGTAATTTTTGGGGACACAAAACTTCATTAATGACATCATGTTACTTAAGTATGACACATTTTCGAGACAGGCCGGGGTAAACTGAACGGCGTCCACGCCGGCCTCGTCATACTGACCCCGCTGGGCGACGTAGCGCCGAGCGAGACTCTGGACACTGCGCACACCGAGCACTCCGGCCACACTGGACACACGCCCCTCGACCCTCCTCCCTCTATCCTCCACACCGTCTACAGCGCCATCAAAAACGCATTCACATCTACTGCCTCCACACTTACTGAGCCTTCGTATGGTGCTCCATCTTATGCACCTCCGTCTGAGCCTTCTTATGGTGCTCCTTCTTATGCCCCTGCGTACCCAACCTCTTATGGCGAAGATCCAATAGCTCCAGCAGCACCCGTCGCGTATCAACCTCCTCCACCACCACAACCTATTCCATCCTTCAAACCCATGTCATGGGGAGCAGTCAACTCGTACGGTCAGCCCGCCGCCCCGGACTCTTATATTGATTACGACCCTAGAACACCCACACATGGTTATATGGATTACGCGACACCCAAGCGATCTGTCGCGCCAACAGTCAAAAAGCAGGGTTTAACACCAGAAAAAATACAAAAAATTACTACTAACTTGAAAAAAGTCACAGCTTACATTAATAACAGTCAACAAAAAAGATCATCTGAAGAGTTCAAACTGACTGATTTAGAAGCCTACCGCGAAATGTTAACAAAGGGCGAGATACCATTCCTGCCCACACCCGTAGTATCTGACAACGAGATTGGCGTGCTCCCTGCGGAAATACTTGATCCCCTTCCTTCTGTGGCCACAACCACTAGCACCACCACCACTACCACGATACCCACCACAAGCACGACTACAGCAAAGCCACAGATCTCCACAGAACAGACCAGAAGACAAGACGTGAAATACTATCTACGAGGCAACAAGATTGTTCAAGTGCGATAACAATGACTCTTGACTGACTGAAGGTATGTGACGATGACTGACTGCTCAACTCTATTGACTGTGACTGTCTCCTCTCGACTGTACAACTGACCAAACTATTCTAAACATAAACGCTACTTAACGACTACAGGACTAACTTTCTCTCTGCATCATTTCATGCGCATGTAGTGTGTAGTTGTAGTGTGTATATGTAGCCAAAACACTGCTTTTCACTTGCAATTATGTATGAGTCAATATCTGTCAAGATTTATTTTATAATGAATATAATGTAATCGTTACAACTTAATTAAATATTACCACTGCATAAAACATGATAAAGGTTATTAGTCTGTGGACGGTTATTACAATACACATACATTAAACTATGTAGCTGTCGAGAAAGTGAAGCTATTAGACGCAATCTCTAAGGTGCATCATACATTATTTATCTTAGTAATATTCAGGTTTTGACAGATATTGCAATCACATTTATAGCAGTTGGTGTAGAAAGTATAATGTAATAATTATATTTTATGCAAAAAGTCGAATTATGTAACTGTAAATAATGCTATCGAAGTAAACCTCGTTCACCATAAAGTTTATTAATTTGTTGTTGTTTTTATTTTTCAGATATTCCAGTCCAGCATACATTGTTCAATGCTGAGGAGCTGCAGCACTATTACCATCACTAATTTAACCTATAAAACTTTTTGGTGATAATGTCCTAAGTTTTGTCTTATTTTTTATAAATAACTCATATTTTCTAAGCCAAAAGTTCTCTTCGCTGAATTACAATAGGTCTTGGAGCCAGATTAACACAACTTGAACACAGATTCTCAAAATGTGGTACATTATTTTACTATTCAACAATTTAGCACAAGTTTACTTAGTGATGGTGATGTTAGATATAAGTAAGTCTACCGTGAAATACCAAAAATTTTATTAAAGAATTTACAAAAAGACTCCGAGTGAAATTTAAAAAGAAAAGAAAACAATAAAGAGTGAATGCGCTATAATACACTGAGTTACTCAAGGATCTTATGATCGAAGTAAGTACGAGTACTACCTACAGGACTTTGTTGATCGAAGTAAAACATATTAATGAGTTATGTAATCTTACACTCTTCAATTCATGTTCCTGAATATGTGCCCAGTGCAATCGTGCGTTATTTATTCTAATGTATGTTAGAGTACCTATAAGGAAGACAGCGAACACCATTATAACGGAACGATTACCGAAAAGATATCCATTAAAATAATACGACAGCTTCTATTTATTATCAAAAATCGATGTATAAAAACGCCTTCTGCTGTCTTTCAGTTTATTTGCTCAAATGTCTTAAATGTAATTAGGTATAATTATGCGATTCGCAGTATTAGATAAAATACACAATTCGAAATCATGTACAGTTTTGTGCCTTCAAACATTACAACGTACCTTATTTATTAAGTTGCTTATTAGAAGAATTGGTGTTACCTATAAGTATATAGGAAAATTAAAATGTATTCTGTAAATAATGCTCAGTTAAGTAAAACTTAGATACTATTTATATTTTATGTAAAATATTAATATTAATTTTCTTTTTTGTAAATAAACGACGAATGGTGTGTGAAGTTGCGTATTTATTTCGGACCAGAAACTTCAAACTTAACATCTAATTCTTTCTTGTGTTCATGTATAACTATCCATTTCCTTATTAATTGTCCTATTATATTTAAAACTTACTCATACAGATTCCTTTACTTATTATATTTAAAACTTCATTACCTATATTAACCAATTATCCTCTCTATTATAAAGTCTCATTCTATGAAGTATATAATATACATTAAATAGCTTCTACTTGCGGTTTCGCCCGCATTCTCAGAATAAAGAGTTTCCTGTCATAAATTATAAATCTGTTAGGTAATTTTGAAATTGTCAATATTACCAAGCAATTGCATAAGATTTAAACTACTTATTTTATATAGAATCTATGAAATATGTCTATTCGTCAAAAAATTATAATTTCATCCAACAAAGACTACAACATGGCGCCTAGTGAAAGGATATTAGCAATATACTTATACTTGCTGTAGAAAATAAACTTCACATCGCAGCGATGTTTACAGAAACTGGCTTAACGGATACCACACAAATCAACTAGTCTTACTTAAAATTCTATTAACTATAATTAACAGGGGCCGATTCAATCAACAGGTAACTTTTATTTATAGAATAACATTGGCATCTGGCAGGTATTGTATGGAAAACTACTCAATTTTAATTTGTACCGAAATCGTGGCGTCGATGATCGCGGGAAGATCTCCAGCCACCATAAGCACGGTCCTGCGGACGGCAAGCATGGGTGGCTCGCCACCCGTCCAGAACCAAACCCGAACGTACTGCGCGTCGCATTCCGCGCGCGCCTCAAATAGTCATCAGATCACCACGGATGGGGATGCCGATACGGAGCCGCAGAGACCTTAACGGGTTGCCGGGGCTCTGGTTTGGGAACGGGGTGGTTTTTAGTTAGTAAGAGTCTGACACTCCCTCCCACCTCACCCAGGCTGGAGAAGCCAATTGATAATTTCCCCCATTAAAAAACGTTTAGTTTAGTTTAGTAACGTTTAAATATTTCAGCCTTTCTTTTTAATATGATTCTCTTACAATAGTATATAGTTTTTCGACAAGAAAAGCCTTTCAGTATTCGTGCGTTACTCACGTGAACTAATTGAGACTGAAACACTACTAATCTCAAGTCCCAGCAGGTCTTAGTTGGGACATGACTAGCAGAACTTTACTCATTTAATTCGTGTGAGTAAACCGGCATATTTCAAGTAATTCATTTAAATTAATAGGTTTCAATATCTACCAGGAACTTTAGTAAATTAGTCGCGTGTTGTCGTAACGAGATGGGTAGCCTGATAGAAATTGATCATCCGGTATTATAGAGGAAATTACCTGTGATCACGAATTTAAGACCTGGTGCAGTGGTGCACTTCCTTTAACTTAAATAGAAATAATTATTAGGTTAGTCGGTATGGTATAGAGGTAAGAACAGTTTTCATCAAGTTAGTGTTTCCTTATGATCATTCATTGGCAATGCGAGGCTTAGTGGATTTGCTATTTGGTATTTTATGCTGTTTAACATCCTTATTGACAAAAATGTAATAGTTAATGTTACAATCACATTTCAAAAGTCACATTAATACATACACAAGATCTTGAATAAATTGTAAAATATTTTTTCTTTTAATTCCGTCTAAAACACGCCACAATATTCTCTACCTGAATGAAAATGTGTCTAGTTTATTTTTTGCTTGAGGTTTCTGTTAGGCGCAGAGCATCATTCACGCAGTAGGTACTTGAGTTACTAAAACATACATTCTAGATAAAATCTAGTAGGTATTTTGTTAATAAACTAATTTATGCTTATGGGCAATTTAATTAAATAATTTAACTCACGAACGTAATAACTTGCTTTAAAGTGCTTACGTATTTATTAGAAAGTTAACCCGAGATATAATAACATTATACAAAGTTACATCACAAGTCTAAACACTTAATTATCTTCTTTAACCTCAACAGCACCTAATCCTTTACCTCCGTTCACGTCACACCTTTACAATGGTGATGTAGGAAGCGGAACCCCATTGAAGGAAAAATAAAACACCATCGGTTTACATAAGGCTGGGCACTCACCTTCCTGGCACGTCGAGCTTCAATACGCTCACTTTCAGAATGATTGAGGTGATAGAACACTAATTAGGCTAGGTCGATGACCTTTAGATCTACCGACACTATGTAGTAGTGATAGAATAAGCTTGTGGAAAGACTGGAATGTGCATGTGTATGTGTAATGTTTGAACTCAAAAATATTGTAAAAAAATACCTATCTGTTTAGTGTTATGTTTACTGAAAAATTAAATCGAATTATAAAATGTAATGACGTTTTTCTTTTTTGTTTGGGATAAGCAAGCCTGCCACGACCTCCCAAACCTACTACAATTCAACTATTAAACCCCAGAATAATGAATTCCGGCGCGTCCCAGGAACATGACGAACTGTCTTCGATAAATGTAATGGTTAAAAGTAACTAAGTCAACTTAATTGTTGTTTTAAAATTAACTCAAAATAATAAAATATGGAGTAAATACTAACCTCTAGTACCTGTCCATTACCTGTACTAAAATTTACGACAAGTTGAAAAGATCGGAAATATAAATAAGACTCATAAATCATTCGACGAAATTCAATAAATTAACGCTAGCGAGCATTCTGTATAACTTCTACGTGTTAACGAATTAGATTGGTTGGTGTATAGTAGACAGTCACATGAACAGCCACAAATAATTACCATCAGATATCTCAACTCCAGTTATACGGAAGTTGTAAAAGTGAACAAGCAAAGGGAAGCATTCATTATATTCCTGTCTTACGTTTCCTCATGTAGGTGGGCTTTGCTCATTAAACTAGCGTCCAATTATTATCTAACAGCCATTTCACCAACTACCCCTAAACTATTTCTTAACTAAGTTACCTAGCGTGACGTAGCACCTAACCTCTTACTTGCAGTGTAAGGTATCTATCTGTATCTACTTGCCTATAGGTTGATGGTTGATGGTAAGCAATCGGCGTAGCCCATGGACGCTTGGAACACCAGAGGCGTTACAAGTGCGTTACCGGCCTTTTGGAGATTAGGAATTTGAGGATTGTTGGGGATTCGGAGAAGATTAGGGAGAGAAGTAATTTGACCTCCGGTAACCTCACTTACGTCACGTCGAAACACAACGCAAGTATTGCATTACGCCAGTTTTCTTTAAGGCCGTGGTATCACTCCGGCCGAGCCGGCCCATCCGTGCCGAAGCATGGCTCTCCCACACTTAGCTTAGGAGTTTTTTTACAATTTAGGAGAGGTCGACAAAAACGGGCATACGTATTAATAAGATGTAAATTCAACGTTAAGAAACAAAATGAACTGTAAACAGCAAAGTTGAGTGCACAGGAATGTAAATGTCAAACAAGATATATATTGGCACGCCTACTGTACAAGTTCTGCCTACCCAGCAGAGCCTTAAACCAGTACAACCTATTCGAAACAAAAGTAAAAACTAGTGTGAAAATACTACGCCGCTGTCACCGGTCAACGGCGACGATTTCCAGTGGCGTGCGCAAGAGTCGGTGACTTGCACGCTGTCGATGAAAAACTGCGCTCTCTAATACATGGATGATATAATTTGTAACTTCACTACTCCTATTGCCTGAACGTTTAATCTTCATTAGAAACAAAAATTAATTAAGTATGATACATCGACCATGTTCGTTAACATACTTTTAATTTCTACTGATAATGATCTTAATAAGTTTGACAAAAGAAAAATTACGCAACGCATCACAAATACTTTATTGATGTGTGCGTAAATATAACATAGTAACAAGGTACATGTAATTTAAAAATGGTCTTCTCTGTTGGCATATTTCTTGCTACACCAAATCTGTAGTAGGCATGTAACAAACTAAATAAAACCATGAATTTCTATTATACATAAACATTAAACGAAACAATAGGGTGGATGCCTAATTTTTATTTTATTGTACGTCTTGTAGATTATTTTAAATCATTAGACACGTATTTTTTATTTTTTTACAAAAACGAATACTTTCGACGATATATTGATTTGAAATGTCACTTGACGTCACTTCTATGAACATTTTATACGTAGAAATAACGTTTTAGCCCCCACTCCTAAACTTTATTAGTTTTATTTAAGTACTTATTATTCTATTATACAACAAATACGTGTCTAATATTTTTTCATTAGCTAACTGACGGATTCATTAGATTTTTAATTTTCATACCCTGTCATCATCCCCATTGTCTTAAATATCGTTGATTTATAGATAGATAATACATTAATGACACTGGTGAAATTATAAATACCATTTAAATGAATAAGTCTTTTAAAAGCTATCTATGTGTCTCTAGTCGCAGTCACAGGTCTCTCTAAAACTTATGCAGATTGGGCTTTAGCCCAAAGATTCTAGTCTTTAGCCAAATATGCTATAGATGATAATTATAGATAAATAATCTTTAAAAAAGATCAGTATGATCCACTATAATAAGTAACCTAAATAATAGTATTTAAGTTCTACATATGCATTTGACGACAGTAAATTCAAGATACAGTTCCTTAAGCGGTGCATTAAATTGATTACAAATTTGATTATTTGCTCTCTCAGTGTATTTTACGCGAATCTTCGTG